AAATACTATGTACAAATGCAAATAACAGAACTTTTTTGTACATAAATAAAAATAAATATATGGCACAAACTGTTTGTTTTTTTTTGGGTGAAAATGCTGTCTTCAGCTAGTTATTTTGAGGTATTGTGCTGTTTTGGAGCTACTGTAGTTATAGATAAACGGTTTGGACTTTTGGGTTAGGGTGCCCTCAGTCAGGAAGATGGTGTCCTGGCGTCTCTTGCCGAAACTCCAGGATATCCAGCATCACCCCTGGAAGACGGGTCACCACTCTCTCGAGAATATAATCTCTCTCCTCCTGGCTCAGGTGTTGTAAAGCTGTCTAGAAATTAAAGAGCATATGTTTACATGACTAGATTCATATCTCCATTGAGTGTTTTCGTTTTTGGCATCTCTCTATTATTTAATTTTTTTTTTACACAAATGGCTACAACCAACCTGCATCTCAGCTATACTGGCAGCTCTCAGCTGTGCAAGCCGGTCTCGGTCCTCTTCTCTGAAAGCTGTTCGCTGCCTACCCCGGTGCCCTGGTCTTCTTGAAGGAGCTCTGGACCTCAACCTGCTGCCCTCACCCCTTGAGCGTGTCCTTCCCCGACCCTCGGAGCGACCTTTTCCTCTCCTCTTTCCAGTACTGCCCTTTCCTTCCAATGTGAATTCCTGAAAATCAATGACAGTAATGATAAAAATGACTGTATTACCGTGTACAGTAGGTCTTGTTGATATTATGATTTTTTATGCATTTTTTGAGCTAAACATTGATATTTATGTTCTTATTTACATTGTTGTGATGCCTGTCCTGTAATGAAATTGGTTTCACAAATGATGTCAGTGACTTGAAATTGGATGTTCTTACATGATGTATAAACAATAACATTAGCTTGTTAGTAAGCTTAGTGCAAAATAATAACTGTAATTTGTCTAAAAACATCAGAAATCACCTGCAGCCACAAAGCCTTATGCTAATAAAGTAGCATCATGTTACTGTCTTGCTCGCCAGTCACAAAACTGGCTTATGAATATTTCATAGGAAGGAGCACTTGCTTTACATCACGAGTGTCATGGAATTTTACAAATATTAGACTAAAGTAACACTGTTACTTACTTCATCGCTCGACACGGTGCCTTGTTCGAGCCGCGCTCTGGCCGTACGTCACTGAAACTTTTTTTTTTCTAGTGAAGAGTTTGTGCGCGCGCTCTTGCCGGGCTGCAGTTACTCACAGCGCCGAGTGCGTCGCTAATGAGTTTTGTTTCTTCATCCTGCCCCATGCTCCTTTAACCGTTCATGTCTGATTGCCTACCTTCTTCACCCGCGTGTGGATCCTCACCTCGGCTTCACACTCCAGCACGCCTGACAGAATGATCCAACCCACTAAAGGATCCAGCGGGGAGATTCTCCCCTGGGAGTGCCTGGTCCAATTCCTCTCCTCGGACCACCGGCCAGCTTCTCCTCCTCCGGCGTCACCTTGCCGCAGACGCCGTCACCGAACTTCAGCCTCGGCGATCCCCTCCACCTTCCCGGAGCAAGATGAGAGGTTGGACCGGGAGACGCTCCCAGACCGCTCCTGCTAAGTGGGCACCAGACTGGCTGAGTGCTCCCCCGGAGTTGGCCACGGCGTGGGGAAGGATGCCGGGCTCCACCGCAACCCTGTGTCCGAGGACGGAGCCGTGAGCTCGCCTCTGCCCCGGCTCGGCGCACCAGCTTGAACCCGCCGTCAGTCAGACCAGCAGTCCCGCCTCCGGTCCAATCAGCGCCTCCGTCATCTGCAGGCGGAGGAACCACGCCTACAGCCCAGCTGACAGAGCTCGCCGGTCTCCAGGCGGAGCTCGGCCGGATCCGTCAGCTTGTCAGTCTCCAGGAGTTCCTGCTGGGCACCCTATCCTCCCTGAATCACCAGGAGAAGGTGTCGGTCCAGTCAGCAGCTCCCTCGTCACAGGACCAAAGGATCGAGCCTGCAGTCCACCCAGCAGAGCTCGCCGGTCTCCGAGCTGAGCTGGCCCAACTCCATCATAGCCTCAGTCTCCAGGAGCTCCAGCTGGACACTCTATCCTCCCTGCTCTCCCAGTTTCCAGCACCACCAGTTCAGTCAGCTCCAGTCCCAGCGGTGGTCCCGGAGGTCGCACCGCATCCAGTTCCAGCGGTGGTCCCGGAGGTCGCACCGCATCCTGTTCCAGCGGTAGTCCCGGAGTTCGCACCGCATCCGGTCCAGTCTGTCCAAACGGTCCCGTCTGCAGCAACTCCTCCTCCACTCCAGAAGCCGATGGTCCAGAAGCCGACGGTTCAGAAGCCGGCGGTCCAGAGGCCGGCGGTTCAGAGGCCGACGGTCCAGAAGCCGATGGACCAGAAGTCGACGCCCCCGGACCAGAAGTCGACGCCCCCGGATCAGAAGCCGACGGTCCAGAAGTCGATGGTCCAGAAGCCGATGCTCCCGGACCAAAAGTCAACACCCCCAGACCAGAAGTCGATGCCCCCGGACCAGAAGTCGAAGTCGACAGTCCAGAAGTCGATGCCTCCGCACCAGAAGTCGACGCCCCCGGACCAGAAGTCAATGGAGGTCGACGCCCCCAGTCCTGAAGTCGATGCCCTTCCAGTCCTGAAGTCGACACCTCGTCCAGTCCTGTGGTCGATGCCTCGTCCAGTCCTGTGGTCGATGCCTCGTCCAGTCCTGTGGTCGATGCCTCGTCCAGTCCTGTGGTCGACGCCTCGTCCAGTCCTGTGGTCGACGCCTCTTCCAGTCTTGTGGTCGACGCCTCTTCCAGTCCTGTGGTCGAAGCCTCCTTGTGTTCCGAAGTCGACACCTCCTCGTGTTCTGAAGTCGACGCCTCCTCGTGTTCTGAAGTCGACACCTCATCCACTCCAGAGGTTGATGCCTCATCCACTCCAGAGGTCGACGCCTCATCCACTCCAGAGAACGACGCCTCATCCACTCCAGAGGTCGACGCCTCATCCACCCCAGAGGTCGACGCCTCATCCACCCCAGAGGTTGACGCCTCATCCACTCCAGAGGTTGACGCTCCCTCGTGTCCAGAGGTCGATGCCCCCTCGTATCCAGAGGTCGACGCTCCCTCGTGTCCAGAGGTCGACGCTCCCTCGTGTCCAGAAGTCGACGCTCCCTCCAGGCCAGAGGTCGACGCTCCCTCCAGTCCAGAGGTCGACGCTCCCTCCAGTCCAGAGGTCGACGCTCCCTCGTGTCCAGAAGTCGACGCTCCCTCCAGGCCAGAGGTCGACGCTCCCTCCAGTCCAGAGGTCGACGCTCCCTCCAGTCCAATGACCCCATTTCCAGTCCTGTGGTCGACACCGTCTCCAGTCCCGTGGTCGACGCCTTCTCCAGTCCCGTGGTCGACGCCGTCTCCAGTCCCGTGGTCGACGCCGTCTCTAGTCCCGTGGTCGACGCCATCTCCTCCGGCCCAGAGGTCGACGCCGCCACCTGCAGTCCAAAAGTCAAGGACATCTCCTCCAGTGTCTCTGCCTCCGGTCACCGCCAGTCCCGCTCTCGCCAGACGCAGGTCCCCAGGAGCCCGCCGTCGCCTCCTCCTCTGCCGCAGATGCAGGCCCCCAAGAGCCCGTCGTCGCCTCCTTCTCTGCCGCAGACGCAGGCCCCCAAGAGCCCGTCGTCGCCTCCTCCTCTGCTGCAGACGCAGGCCCCCAAGAGCCCATTGTCACCTCCTCCTCTGCCCCAGACGCAGGCCCCTGACTCTACTGGTCCCTGCCTCCTCTCCATCGGTCCCTCGGTCCCTCTTGGCCCTCCCTCCGGGTCCCCCTCCTCCCACCCTGCTCCGTGTTCCTGTGGGCATCTGGGGTGGGGGGGTGGGGGGGTGGGGGTACTGTCACACCCTGTCCTGTCTCCTCGTTTGGTTCAGCCATGTGTCTCTGTTAATTGCTCCCACCTGCCTCTCGTTTTCCAATCACCCAAGCTCCCAGCCCTCTTGTATTTAAAACCCTTCAGTTCTGTATCTCATGTTGGATCATTGTTTCAGTGTCAGTGTGTTTATTATTAAAACCTTTAACCGTTCATGTCTGATTGTCTACCTTCTTCACCCGAGTGTGGATCCTCACCTCTGCTTCACACTCCAGCACGCCTGACACAACCTATAGCTTAGTAGCAACTTACAAAGTTTAACTTGCGTATTTTATTTTATTTGAACTTTATTACATGTTTTTACTAACTTAAATATTATAAATTATAGGAACTCTAAATGGACCTATTAAACCCTAATCCAAATAAGTTGAATTTACTTAAAAATGACAATGTGGCAGGCTGGTGAAGGCAGTAACTAACACCAAATCATGACTCACACACCCATAAATGCTAACAGCCAATAAAAGTGGAACACTCAAAGTCAAGTCAAGAGCATCTGGTGTGAACAACCACAGTATTAACAATGGGACGGCACAGCCGTACAGCATTACTTTGACCAACCTCCTCACTTATGGTGCCAACATGATACAAAAAGTAACACCACATCTGCACCACAGAACGAAATAATAACTGAGAACAACAATCATCCACAATAAACATGCATAAACACCCCAAAATAGAGCTAAATAACTGAAAACATGACTACCCACAATGCACCTCCCCCACCAGTTGTTTATTGTTCCTGAAATCCAACAAAATTGCTAGTTTGTGGTTGTTTTTCTTGTAAATCCACAAATATTTAAAATAATATACAAGTCAGTTTATCAGACACACTTTAGGGTTGACGTAAAGATGAATGGAATAATATAGAAACAAAATAATAATTCAATCAATTTGGTTAATAGTACTCATTAAATTTAAGTTGTCGTTTATTGATTAATTTAAGTTATGATTACTTAAAAAAGAAATAGTTTAATTAAAGCTTTTGAGTTCTATGTACTTAAAACAAGGAAAAGGTTGAACAAGCTTGAGTTCTAAAAACATTTTTTAATTATTAGTTTTATCTACTCAATATATTTGATTATTTTAAACTTTTAGTGTCATACCTTGAAACAAATTAGCTGAATTTTGACACTTGACATTTTTTGCAAGAATATCAGAACAATAAACTTATTCTGAAGGGAAATGGTTGCTGTGGTTGAACATGACCTCAAGAGAAACAACAGGAACAAAGATCTTTAGTTACATGTTAATAAAATATTGGTTTTATGTGTGAGGGAGCCTTAATGTTGTTGGATACCTCAATCTGTGTAACACACTGTAAAAATGTGAAAACTGAACTCTCTTTCCTAGTTTTTATTTTTTATTTTAATCTTTGATCTTTTCAAAGAAGGATGCAGCATAAATGATGTCTCATTTTCAGGGATGGACGATGGTGAGTTGGGAGACACAACAGACGATAGAAAGCCAACGTTCTGATTATATGGATTGTATCAAATGATAAAGAATACAACAAACCAAAGAGAACCTCACAACAAAGCTCTAAAATGTTTTGGTTAAAACCAAAGAGTAATCTCCAACAGCCTAAACAATTGAACTTATTCCTTGCTTTAATGAAATGATAATAAACTTTGCATAAGCACTGCGTGAGAAGCAGAATAAGTCTTCACGGGAGAGATAAAGCATGTTTAATAATTCTGATAACTCAGAGGGCTCGTGCTCACCAGCCAGCTGTGAGGGGAAGGATTTACAGTCAGACTTCTTTGATGGTTAAAGAATGTGCCGTGCTTCTTGTTATCAGAATGTCAAACACAAGCTCACACCAAAATGCAGCCTCTGTACACTCAAGGGCACGGGCACGAATCCAGCTTCTCAAGGTCTTGTGTTTTGTTTACCATTTTGCCTCTATGTTGTGGCTTGTGCATTACCCTGACCTGGCTTGTAACCAGATCAGATTGCTTATAAAGACCAAACTCAGACAGCTTCCATTATTTTCCCTCATCGGGTTGGAGGAGCGGCGTGCCGATTATTTAGCCTTCCTATGGATTTGATCTCTGGCTGTGGACGGACCATGACACCAGTAGGGTTTGATGATGCAGTGGCAAACCTGGTCTCCATGTCCTCAAATTCCACTGAAAACCCATCGCCTGGGATCCCCATGGCAACGAGGACCCTCTTGGTGCTTGTGTGTCTGCTGCTGGTCGCCTGGAGTCACACAGACAAGAAGACTGTACCAGGTGGGTTTAGCATGTTTAACCTTGGACCTGAGTTTAATACAAGCGAAATAATGTTTGTTATCAATTACCACACCAGGTCCGTCTTTCTGTCTGGGATTGGGGCCACTTCTGTCCTATCTGAGATTTATCTGGACTGGTATCGGCACGGCGAGCAACTACTACAACCAGAAGTATGGAGACATCGTCAGAGTTTGGATAAATGGAGAGGAGACCCTGATTCTCAGCAGGTCGGTTGCCTCTGTTGATAACAGAGTTACTAAAACAGTCAAAGTATGAAACAAAAGGCTGTTTTCTGTTTAGGGCATCAGCAGTCCATCATGTTCTCAGGAATGGAAATTACACGTCACGGTTTGGGAGCAAGCAGGGCCTCAGCTGCATTGGGATGCATGAGAGAGGCATCATCTTCAACAACAACGTTGCTCTGTGGAAAAAGATACGCACGTACTTTGCTAAAGGTTGACATCTTAAACCACATCTAAGCACAGATGAAGGTTTTAAGCAGCACAAGTAATAATAATACATTTTCCCTTTTAGCCCTAACAGGTCCAAATTTGCAGCAGACAGTGGAAGTTTGCATCTCCTCCACACAGACTCACCTGGACAAGCTGGACAGTTTGACACATGTGGACGTCCTCAGTTTGCTGCGCTGCACCGTGGTCGACATCTCCAACAGGCTCTTCCTGGGTGTTCCAGTCGATGGTGAATAGAATTAGGTTCTGCAGGTTTTCGTATTTCAGCAATGCAAAAACAATCAAGGTGCTACACTTCCAAGGTTGTTCAGTCATTCTGATTGTTTTGTTTGCAGAGAAAGAGCTGCTGCTAAAGATTCAGAAGTACTTTGATACGTGGCAGACTGTGCTGATCAAACCTGACATCTACTTTAAGATTAGCTGGATTCGCCACAGGCACAAGGCAGCAGCGTGAGTGATTCTGGTTTTATACCCTGAACATGTTTTAGGGGTGTTTTTATAGAAATGAATATTTCATTCAGAATATTTTATTTTACAGCCAGGAACTACAAGATGCCATTGGAAAACTTGTGGAGCAGAAGAGGAGAGACATGGAGCAGGCAGATAAGCTGGACAGCATTAATTTTGCAGCAGATCTCATATTTGCACAAGTGAGAAAACATTTCAGCGTTTGCATTTTTCTTTAGTTCTATGACATTTGTCTCATTTATGTTCAAAGGAAGCAGCATGTTTTTCTATTTTAAAAATCTGGATTTGGAACATTTGGGTGTGTTTTCAGAACCATGGCGAGCTGTCTGCTGAGAACGTGAAGCAGTGTGTATTGGAGATGGTGATCGCAGCACCAGACACTTTGTCCATCAGCCTCTTCTTTATGCTTCTGCTCCTCAAACAGAATCCAGACGTGGAGCTGCAGCTGCTGCAGGAGATAGACACAGTCGTAGGTGAGCAAGTCAGAGAACAAAAACAGATACAGACGGGGAACTGTTCGTCATTGCAGGGGGTCGTTTGAGAGGCAGCTGCGCTTCCCAGCTTTAAAGTTTTAAAGCTGCATATTGTTGATGTGGTTTATTTTTATTGTTTTAAATGTTTTAAATAGCTGCTTCATACCAGTAAAACACAACCCTCTACAGAATTTCCCTTCATGGATGCAGCATTTAGCTCAGTGATGAACCGAGATCTTTCCTCCATCAGGAGAAGAGCTTCAGAACGGGGACCTTCAGAAGCTGCAGGTGTTGGAGAGCTTCATCAACGAATGTCTGCGCTTCCACCCGGTGGTGGACTTCACTATGCGTCAAGCTCTTTCTGATGACATCATAGACGGCTACAGGGTACCAAAGGGCACAAACATTATCCTGAACACGGGTCGCATGCATCGGACGGAGTTTTTCCAAAAAGCAGATGAATTCAATCTGGAGAACTTCCAAAGAAATGTGAGCAGAAAGGATTTTAAAATTGATTGTTTAGTTTGTATTTATTATTCTCTCTTTGAAAAAAATTTGATTGGGGGAAATGATGCTATTTTATGAAACTGAATAAAACTGTGTACATTATCTGTGTTTAACTCACATCCACACAATCCTGAAACAAAAGGCTAACTCTGTTTTAACCATTTAGAGCCACTCTTTCCTGGTTTTTAACTCCTCTCTGATCTCTCCTACATACAGGCTCCTCGTCGATACTTCCAGCCGTTCGGTTCAGGGCCTCGGGCCTGTGTGGGTAAGCACATCGCCATGGTGATGATGAAATCCATCTTGGTGACACTGCTGTCTCAGTACTCCGTTTGCACCCACGAGGGCTTGACCTTGGACTGCCTCCCACAGACCAACAACCTTTCCCAGCAGCCTGTGGAGCATCCTCAGGGGGCTGAGAGCCTCAGCATGAGGTTCTTACACAGACAGAGAGGAAACTGGAAGACACACTCACACTTTTAATTTCCTGTTGTTTTTAACCACCTCACACGCATATACGCTCTCATTCATTTATTATCTCATGACTGTAAAAAGTACGTTTGTATTATTTTGTTATGTATTCATCTTGTGTTTCCATATGTCTTGTTGTGCATTAAGTAAAATGTAAGTTTCTATATTCTAACTCAGAAGTAAATGTAAATTATTGTGTTGAAACTGTGTTTTGTCTTATTTTGGGGTATACCATCCATATTTATAATGACAATTATTGATACTGTTTTAAAAGCTAAAACATTGTATTTCTTCTGTTTTTCTTAATAAAACGTATCATAAATCAGCCTAAAATTGTGCTCAATACTTCTACAGCTAGCATTAGAACCAAAAATGTACTTAAATGTGCAAGTTTAAAAAAATTGTCAATTAATCTCAGTTTAAAGATATTTAACACAACCTTATGAGTGAATTAATGAATGACTTTTGATTTGGATTTAAATTCAAGCAAGAACAACAAAAGAAAAGAAGCAATGCAAATATAAATATTAAAATGATGCAATAACATGACCAGAGCAGGACAATAATCATCCACTAGTAGACACTAGTGCTGAGGCACCAGTTGACATTTCAGGGAAGTGATTGATGTTGGTTTTGTCTAGATTAGGATGGCCTTATGCCAGAAACCCAATCACAGCCTGAGGAGGATCATCACTTTCTGGACATGGAAGTGTGAAGGTCCTGTCGATTAGAACTGAGACGTTCACAAAGAGAAATAATTCATAGAGGATGTAAATAAACATCAGCACGATGTTTGGATGATTACTGTACATGGTGAAAATAATACAAAAATATATTTAAAAAATAAGCTATAACTAATTCTCTTTTGTGAGGATTTTACAGAAAATAAATAGTCTGAAGAGAATCTTTATGTAATTACAGATAATAATCAGTAGAGGACAGTGCAGCATCTCATTCCTCACCACAGCCTAAAACGGGGTCAGGAACCTTTCTGGCTGAGAGAGCCATGAAAGCCAAATATTTTGAAATGTATTTCCCTGAGAGCTATATATATATATATATATATATATATATATATATATATATATATATATATATATATATATATATACAGTATACATATATGTATAAATATATATTTTTTAAACACTGAATACAACTAAATGGGTGCAATTTTAAATAAGACCAACATTTTCTCATCACCTCTAGCTCATTGATGCCAAAAGCGCCCTTTTTCGTCACTTAAGTATGAAAAAGGGATTTTCCCTTTTCTGACTGCAGATTCCAATGCAGCGTAAAACTGACGCGATGGGATGTCCTCAGCCGGGGCACCAGAGAGCTCATTGTGCCGCACCCGAACCTTATCCTCTTGTTATTTAGCCTTCCCCTCACCCCTATCCTAACCTTAACCATCTTGCTAGCTAACATTTTACCTTAACAGTGACCAAGCGTTTGTTTCCCACATAAAATTAGTTGTTTTTGGACCGAGGTAACGCGAGGGGGAGGTTTCAGCTACCAAGGTGCAGGTTAGAAGTAGAGGGTATTTGTAACCTCCCCCTCACCAGATGGTATGTTCTAACGTTCCCCTAGTCTGGGCGGCAAATCTGAAAATTCATAGTCAGAATACATGGAAAACAAACCCTTGGTAACTGTATGAGTAACATTTTAGGTAGCAAGAGGGTTAAGGTTAGGATGAGGGTGAGGGGAAGGTTATAAATAGCAAAACGTTAAGGTTTAGGTGCGGTTAAATGAGCTGGTTCGGTGCCGCAGCAGCAGGCATCCCATTGCGTCAGTTTTACGCTGCATTATGGGCTCGACACACGGGAGGCGACAAACGACCGCAAATCAGCTTTTATTTCCTGACACACGGGAGGCAACCCACGGCAGCGGCCAGCGGCAAAGCCGTCTACGTGTTCTGTTCCATGGCGAAATCGAAACTTCCGTTGTTTTGTTTGGCTGTGTCAGGTTGGAGGTAATTTAGAGGTTATTTAAGCGGTTCAGAGTTAATAAAGCGGTAGATGTGATGTTTCACAAGGTGCTGCTAGAGTTATGTGAAATCTTACTTCTGATTTTACTATATAAAACATAATAATAATCAACTTCTCCTCCATGTTTGCTCGGAGATGTATGGAGCATCCTGTCCGCTCATTGGTCAGTGAATGAAACCTCCGTTGATTGGTCCTCGTCCGAGCGACAGCGATGAAAAGTTGAAAATGTTTCAACTTTCTGGGATCACGTCGCTGGGTCGCCTGTGCACGATACGTGCACGAGCGCAAAATTTCACGCTCATGTTTTTCGCGTTTCGCTTGGTAGTAGGGAGACCTTCGATTATCGCGTTGTCGCGCATGTCTCATTGAAAATGAATGAAGGAGAGGCGATGTCGCCTCCCGTGTGTCGAGCCCATTAGGATCTGCAGTCAGAAAGGCGAAAAACCCCTTTTCATACGAATAAGGGCACTTTTGGCGTCAGGGGTTTGGCACGGAGGGTGGCTGGCCAAGCGTTTGTTTTTGACGCGCTGGGAGTGAGTGTGCTGCTTAAACAGGTGCGGTAGAAAATGGACGGATGTTAAAATGCACAAGAATGTTTTTTATGTTTAACACTGTGGTTTCTGTGAGTTATCTGAGAGCCATATGCAGTCATCAAAAGAGCCACATACGGCTCGCGAGCCATAGGTTCCCTACCCCTGGCCTAAAAGGTAACCAAACTGTTCATCACAAATACATTTTTCACACAGATGCATTCATTCCATTTATATCATTTCCTCATTTAGAAACACAGAAATACAGGAAGCTGCCTCCGAAGGTCATCTGTTAATGTCAGAGAGCTAAGGTTTTTTTTTCCTGTGCAGCACATATCCTGCAGACATCAGCCATCCGCTGTTTATCAGACACCCAAAAACAGCAAAGCATCTAAAATAAAAGCAGATCCGTTTCAGGTGAACTGACACCAAACCACCTGCTGCCCGTTTAGGCTGACTGAAGTCAGATAGGGACACATTTTCAGAAAGAGTGCACATAAGTTCCAGGTCTGAGAGGATCCTTGCCACCTCAGCAACAGGTTTAATGTGTGAGTCCGTTGTAACATACCAAAGGGTCAATTTTCACCTATATATTGACCAACTTGGTGACCTTTCATCTACAGAAATAAATCCACTTTCTATTTGGCCCTCCAAACCCAGAAGGTTCTGCAGTTCTTGCTTACATACCATGAAGACAAAACATACAAACATACATTCTCACCCAAGGTTCTTGCACTCACTGTGTGAAAGTCAGGTCAACGTTCATCACTCTGAACAAGTGAAGACTCCATGATTTTACAACTCATAAGCTTACAATAATCATATGCGATGAATGAAGATGTTTAAATCAAATGTTTGAATAATCTGTGCTTAAGTCAATTAATTTGAATTGAATATTGTTCATACAATGATCCATTTATATCACAAATCAGTATGTGTTTGATTTAACAAGTTAATCATTGTTTACACTCATACACATTACAATAAGATGCTCCTTAAGGTTAAGAATTTTGTATTTGAAGGAAGGTGTGGCTTTCTGAGGGATGTTGGTAAATACTCAGAAACGTGTCAAATTCTGATTGACCAAACTTGGCCAGAAATCGTAACAAAGTAGTTTAATAAAACTAGAATTACTTCCCAATTAATTCAGTTTCTCGCTGACCCTTGAACCAGCCATTTCAGGAAAGAAGCATTTTTGAAACCATCTTCTCCTTTGACCTCCTGTCAAAGCCTCTCTGCAATGCTGCGGCTGATACCAGACAACCGGTTCTCTATGAGCCAAGCAAACATCAACCTTAGACACAAACAAGCATTCCAGCTTTCGGTCTTCACCTTCAGGGATCTCAGACTGGATGGGTCCTATATAGGAATTATCTACGGATTCTTGATATCAGAGTTCACCCAACGGCAGTGACCCGCACGACCCCCCGGATCGAACGAGAACCTCCACACCAAGGGTGCGTAGACTTGGCACGACAGATTGTGTCTGATGCTGTTTGTAATAAACAACTCTCTAGTTTATAACAAACAACAAATTATTTTACAGCCAGATTTCACAATTTCTCTCAGATACAAAGAATGGTTGCTACAACATCTAGCTTCCATCACAACACCTCCCATCCACAGGGTATCCGCGAGTCCTTAAAAAGTCTTAAAAAGTCTTAAATTTACTTTTCCAAATTTAAGGCCTTGAAAATCCTTAAAAATGACAAATAATCCTTAAATACAGTTTCCAAATGTCTTAAATTACCAACGACCCAATAAACTAGATTAGTTTATTTCTATGACATTTTCGTGAATTTCTAGTTAGTGTTCAGCATTTTTTGTGTATGATGTTGGCGTAAGCGGAACCGTACACATTCAGTTGGTTGTGAAAGGGGGATATTTTTAGATGAGCACATTAGCTGGTTAAGCTAGTGGGAGCTTGCGCCATGGGGAGGTGCAAGTTTAATGGTAACTGGATGGCTAATCCCACGTTCGCGACGTGGTTAGGACCGATTCCAGGCAATAGCTGGAAATTATAGCTTGAATTTTAAAAAAAGCTTAAATTTGGTCAAATTGGCCTTAAAAAAGGTCTTAAAAAGTCTTAAATTTGGCTCCCTTAAACCTGCAGATACCCTGCATCCACCACATCACATCTCATTATTCATATCTTGTCATGTATAAATTATTAGTTTCGGAAAAAGAATTAAATTCATTTTATAAACTATATACTGACTCTGTCTGAATTAATACGAAGTGTGTTTATGGTCACTAAAGAAGCAAAGAACCCTAGAATCTTCTGATTAAACATTCAAAGATCAATCAGATTGATATTTCATATTTATATGGAATCATCACATCTTATTGGTCATAATTAATATGTAATAATTGCTACACCATGCTTGTAGTAAGAATGTCACTTAGCTATGCATTTGCTGTTTTTGGTTAGTTGTGATTATGCACATAAATCACAGGCTGGTTCTGCAGCAAACTCCAGAACATTCTCATTAACCTTAAACACAATCTGCAGTTCGTTTGCTCCAGCAGCTCTTGATAAACATTTGTTCTTTTTCTAACTTCGTTCGGTGTTTCACTATGGGAATCGCCCTGGCGTGACCAACTACGGAAGCTCCAACGACATCACATATGTCCCTGACAGACTGGTTGAGCCATGCCCAGGCTCCACCCACCCAGTATATGCACGGCCAACCAACCCCTCCTACTCATTCTCGCTTTCTTCCTGTG